TTTTAATTCTTTGAGAATACAGAATTAAATAAAAAAAGTTTGATCGAATTTGACCAGGTAAGTGCCATGTAATCTTCGTTCAAAGGAGGAAAATTTTATCTGATTTTTCTAACATTTTAAGCTTTTTTTTAAAATTTAGCAATGATTTTTCGATACCTGTTGAAGAAAATTCAATAAACTTTTTTTTATATTAATTCTACAAATCTATAGGATTAAAATAAAAAAAAATTTTACCGAATTTTATCAAGTAGCTATTGAGGAACCATCGTTAGAAGTAAAAAAAAAACTTTCGAATTTATTAATTGGATTCGTTATTTGAACATTACACAAAAAGGATGATCATCACATGCGGGGAAAATTTCTTGGGGGTGAGGTGTATAATTTAAATTTGGGGGGTACGATTACCAGCCCCCTATAAATAAGGCAATAAATAAGATTAGCGTATAAACAATTAAATTCAACTTATGAGCGAAGTACTGTAGTCGATACGTATGATATATTCTTTCTGGAACTTTACACCTTATTTTAAAGGCAACATTATTTACTCAACTTTGCATAAACCGGGTTTAACTGCTTTCCAATTATTAATACTGTATCGATCTATTGATTCATACATTTTGATCACACCATTTCCAAACAGGAGATATCATACTTCTCGATTATATCGCCATCAAATAGAAAAACTATGTTTTTATATAATCACGCTTTTATTTTTTGGTCAACCAAATCAAGAATAAATAACCAATCAATGTTCAAATCTACGGATGGTTTTCTTTATATTATATAATATAATATATAATAATAATAATTATATAATTATTAATTAGTCTACTTTTGTAAATTAGTATTTATGATGATTTTATTTATCATTACTATTTTTCTTTAGATTTTTTCAATAATAGGATTTCTGATTAATTAAAATTTTTGTGGGGATAGTGATAGACCAAATTTTATCATCATTATTGAGCCGGACATCACCTAATTTAGAACAGCATGAAAAGGTCTTTCACTCCGCTCTCCTCCACTCCATCCCAAAAAGTCTATTAGTAATTTACTATGTTAAAGGGGGTTTATCTAAATTGTTTTTACTATAGCAAGAGAATTTCTATAATGAGAATTTACTATAGCAAGAGCATCTTGTAATTTAAATAACTTATTGAATAAAATATTTAAAATTTAAAACCAACTTTAAATTTAAATTTAAAAGTTTAAAAATTAAATATAAATACATGTATTAAATTTATTAATCTATTTAATTTGTAAAACTTAATATTAAGTTCGTTTTTTTTATATAAGCTACATTGTTAGCTGCTCTAGTTATTTGTACTCTTTTCTATTCCTATGCCGTTTTTATAGCAATATTCAACTTGGCTTATTGCATAGGAATAACCTAGCTTAGCAGATTTTTGATAATAAATAAATGCTTTAAATTCATCTTTTTTAACACCAATTCCATAGTGATAACAATATCCAACATTATATATTCCAGCTGCGTTTCCTAATTCAGCAGATTTTTGAAAATTTACAAATGCCATATACTCATTCTTTTCAACACCTATTCCCTCAAAATAACAATGTCCAACATTATAAATTCCATCTACATATCCTAAATCAGCAGATTTTTGAAAATTAATAAACGCTTTATATCCATCTTTATCAACTCCAAATCCATGATAATAGCAATATCCAACATTATATATTCCAACATTGTGGTTCAATTCAGCAGATTTTTGATAATAAATAAATGCTTTTTGTTCATCCTTTTCAGTTCCAATTCCCTCTGCATAACAATATCCAAGATTAAATATTCCATCAGGATGACCCATCTTAGCAGATGTTTGATAGTAAATGTATGCTTTATGTTCATCTTTTTTAGTTCCGATTCCATTTCGATAATAATTTCCAAGACTATTTATTTTATCAGCATTCTCTGCATTAGCATATTCTCTATGAACAGCTGATTTACGCTCATCATTTTCATCATTTTCATCAATATCATTCAGAGACACAAGTAATGAGTCTATAATTAGCAAGCTTCCGCTGTTTTCTTGCTTATTTTGGTTACCTATTAATTAACGTCGAAATATTTTAGAGTGACAACGTTTATTGATTTAAATAAGGAAATTGCCATTCAACTTTATCCCTCCAACGTAAAAGGAGAATTTTAATTGTCACATGATACAGGTGGTGCTTAACGTTAAGGGAACGTAAATTTGCAATAAAACAGGTGCAAATTATTTGCATCATCATGAATTTTTTCGATTATAGCTTAGGCAATTCGAAATTGATTATTAGGTAACGTCATCCCCCCTCTCGGTTAACTGTACCAGAAATTAAACAAGCCAATCACAACACAGCATAGATTTCATTAATCATGTGATTTAAGTTGACCAATGAGGGTTGATCAAATATTCTTGGGAAAAGATGCGTTTGTTTAGATCTCCCGTGCCTGAACCACAAACATTGACGTTAGCCTAATAATCAACTTTGAACGGCCTACGTATGTCAGTAGCAATTTCATCATATTGTACAATTAAAGATCATGTAATATGATGCAACATGAATCTTTACGTAGAAGGGATACAAATAGCATTTAGATATCGATGTCCTAGATAATATAAATATATATACTTAGGTGATTAGTATGCATTCCAGAATCTTTTTGATTTAGAGATTCAAATCGTCTACTGGAATAGATTGCTTCAGGATGAGGAATCGCGGATAGATTAGGCTTCAAACAATTTTCAAGTGTTTCATCAGCATTCTTTATTTGTTCAACGAATTCTATTGCTTCATCATTTAAAATTTCATTAATCCAAATGCTTGTAGTTTCATATAATTCTTTTGAAGTTGGTCTCTTATTTGGCTGTGCGTCCCAACATTTAATAATTAATTCAGTAACTAAATTTGGTACATAAGATGGAATGCATGGACGTAAACCGCGATGAATTTCGCGTGCCAAATGAATATCATGTGGAATATCATTATGTATTAAAAGACCCGATACTATTTCATATGCCACAACACCAAAAGAATATACATCAGATGCTAAACTATACTCCTTATTGTACAATACTTCGGGTGCTATATATGGAATTAAACCACATAATTCGTCATTTAGTTCTGTATTATCTGATGATGAAAGTCCTAAGTCTGCAATATATGCACTATGAAAGTTTTCAATTAGCAGTATATTTCCACTATGTAAATCCCTGTGAATAATATTTTGGGAATGAAGTATAAAAAGATCCGAAGCAATACAATTCAAAATAGTCAATTTCTTTTTCCATTTCATTTGCGACACATAATAAATATTTTTACGTAAAGAGCCTCTCCCAGCATAATCCAGAACGAGAATATAATCTTTAGAAGAATCATCCTTAGATATGCCGAAGCATTTTATAAAGGTCGGATTTTTGAGAATAACATCGCAATGTGTCTTCAACTTATTATTAAAGAAAAGCAAAGCTAAATGGTTGATATAACAGATAATGATAATTAAGGAAAATAAAAATTTACCTCATTTATAAATCCTCTATGGCAACTTCCTGATCCATGAAATAGTTTAAGTGCTACAGTTCTATCAGCACTCTGACTTCGATCAAGCCATCTGGCGTAATATATTGTTGCAAATCCACCTTGTCCTATCATATCAATTTCTCTGAAATCACTATAAGGGATCCATGTCAATTGGTATTTATTTTCAATCAATATTTTCTTCAAATCATTATCAATGGCAGGGTTTTCGTGTACCCATTCATTTGTGACTAATTAATGAGTATAATGTTTTAGATTTTGAAATATTATAATTAAATAATAGCAATAGAACTTACTTGATGTTTTATTTACTGCCCTAAATGATTCGATAGTGTGATTATCATAATTAAATAAATTATATGCTTAGAAAAAAATGATCATAAATCGGAAATGGCATATTTACATTTGGTACCAATAAATTGCTTTTTGTAAATCCCTTGTTACCCCGATTCCATTTCGATAAAAATCACCAACTCGGTTCATTCCTTCAATATTTCCTTTTTCAGCTGATTTTTGAAAATTAATAAATGCTTTATATTCATCTTTTTCGATTCCAACACCACGAAGATAACAAGTTCCAAGGGAACAGAACCCTTTAGCGTATCCCATATCGGCAGATTTTTGATAATGAATAAATGCCTTATTTCCATCATTTCCAACACCAATTCCATCTTTATAACAATTAGCAAGTGCAAAAATTCCAGATGGATACATCATTTCAGCAGATTGTTGATAATAAACGAATGCTTTACGTTCATCTTTCTCAATTCCAATTCCATTGCGATAACAATATGCAAGGCTGTATGTTCCACCAACATTGCCCATTTCAGCGGATTTTTTATAATAAATAAATGCTTCATTTTGATCTTTTTCAACACCAATTCCGGATTTATAACAATTACCAACGCAAAGTAACCCATCAGAATGACCCATCTCTGCAGATTTTTGATAATAAACGAATGCCTTATATTCATCCTTTTCGACAACAATTCCATCTCGATAATAATGGCCAAGTTTCATTATTCCTTTGACATGTCCCATATCAGCACATTTTTGGTAATAAATAAGTGCTTTATATTCATCTTTTTCAACACCAATTCCGTTTTGATAACATACTCCGACATTAAATGTTCCATCAGCCAACCCCATTTCTGCAGATTTTTGATAATAAATAAATGCCTTATTTTCATCTTTCTCAATTCCAAATCCATTATTATAACAATATCCAACATTATATATTCCAATAATGTGACCCAATTCAGCAGATTTTTGGTAAGAAATGAACGCCTTATTTTCGTCCTTTTCAATTCCAATTCCAGTATGATAACAAACGCCGAGATCAAATATTCCATCATCATTCCCCATTTCAGCAGATTTTTTATAATGGATAAACGCTTTATGTTCATCTTTTTCAATCCATATTCCAAAGCGATAGCAACTTGCAAGAATACTTTGAAGTATTGAATTTGTTTGATCATTCAGGCACCAATTGATTATATCATCCGGTTTTCGTTCTACCTTTACTAAAAATTGATCCATAAGGTTAAGTATTGGTTTGATATCTTTGCCTTTCTTTCTTTCATTATTGTAAATATTACATACTTCTTTAATAATTGTATTGAGAGAATTATTGTCTCTGTTTTGTGTAATGGTATTTGGTAAACTGATGATTTTTTCAAACGGTTTTGCTAACAGTTTATTATAAATTTTTTTAATAGACATTTTGATAGCGAAAAAATTGAATGTACATGTATAAATATATATGCGTTAAATTTATTTATCGATATGCATTTAATTATTATTATTATTAAAAATTTCTAAATATACACTAGTGTATAAAGCACGGGTATTAATTAATTGACTTGTAAATCCATGTAACATATAAATTCGGGTTAGAGGTTTGGGTTGGGTTAGAGGCAGGGCAAAAACGGCATATAGTAAATTCTGGTCATCCAAAATGTCAAAGTAATATATTAAAACAATATATAGTATTAAATAGCTAGTAAAATTTTCTTTGATCGCAACAATTATGCATCAAGAACGACACTTTGGATGACCGGAATTTACTATGGGAGGTTTGCTAGGAAAATAGGGTTCCGAGGTCCCTCTGATCAAAACCGAGATTTCAATTGTATATTAATCTTCTATACAAGGACTTTATATAGTATAAATTTTATACTATGTTGTCTTAGTATAAAAGCGAATTATTTGGGGTCTTTGCCTTGAAAATGACCTTACGGTACATGATACCGTAAGGTCATTTTCAAGGCAAAGACCCCAT